CAAGATCGCATAAGAGTTGATTGTGCTTGTTTTGTATAACGAATCCCAAATGGGTTTTTGAAGTGCTTGGCAGTCCGAAGGCATCAGAACAATAACAAATGCAGGTTTAGCCAAAGGTTCTATTAAAGTAATACGGTCAATCAAAGAACCGTCCCCAGGTGACCTTTTTCCACGCGGGCTATTCCCTCGATGGGTTTCTCCCGCACTTCCATTATCCAACTGGCTGCGTGCCCGTGTGGCAAAATAGCATTTAGGCGATCAACTGTATAACAAATGTTTCATATAAGGGCTATTTTATGCATGCATTTTGGACGATGACGCCTCCGCCCGTTCCGACATGCGGACCATTCATTTATGGTACCTATTTTACCCCAGTGACTCAGCGGCATTATATGTTGCACGGGTATAAACTTCTAAGTTTTGAAGCTGTAATCTGTCATCTCAAGAGATCAGCCCACTACTGACCACCAGCAAAGTAAGCAAGAATATAACTTATCGGGAATTAAAAAGCACGATACCAATGTATTTTCAGAAAGGCCAATCACAAATTCATGCGAAGTCTTGGTGAAAAAGAATGGTGTAACGGAAAATACGATAGAAAGAAATGTTGCATTCTATATAGGGTTTTGTAAGGAATGAACAGCAGTAAAAGTAGTCCAAATGCAGTTGGTAGTTTCGGTGATTTTGCTTGCTTTATCCCAAAAGACCACCGATTGAAATCACCGGAATTGGAAGAGGATCAGTTCATTATATCCGACAATCGATTGCTACGAATATATCTGTTACTTGTCGCTAATATAAAAAGCCATATCAGATGTATTCATGAGATGTGCGGATGAGTATAGTGTGCATCAGAGTTGCGATTATTTCACTGCTCAGGAAAGAAACTGGGGACCACTCGTTAGCTTCCTCATTATTTGCAGTTTCCTAGTGGCAGTCGAGAGAGACCATCAGCTGCATGGTTTTCACGTCCAGGAAGGAATTTAATATGAAAATCGTATGTTAATAAGCTGCGTGCTGGCGATGTCCCTCATGCTGGTGCCGTTGCATTCATGATGATTCTTCATCGCACTTGGGCTAAACCAACTTACACTCAACACAGATTTACTTAATTTGGATAAATTCATGCATCTTAATTTGGTTTGTTCGATTCTGTTATTCTGGTGCATATTCGGTGTCAAATTTGCATGTTCGGTTTTCCTTAAATGCTATCTTGGTCGTTTGATATCCCAGGTGTGGCTGCGCTTTATGTGATTACTAGCTCCAGGAGACTGTGAATCGTTGCTGGGGAGGACGGGGTGCACAGTCCTTGTGACCTTGCTAAGCTCAAAATGTGGTTCCATCCAGTATGGAGCGGACTACGGTGTTAAGTACCGATCGTGTATTCCTTGTCTGTGTATGCACCCGTAGTCCGTTTAGACATAGGAAAAGCACCAACGCCGGATGGTAGGTGTGAATCTGTACTCTTCCCCTAACCGGAGCTAAATGAAATATACGGGACCAAAAAGAACCATTAGGAAACCGAGTCCAATCAGCGAATGCACTATGGTCTTGTGATTGGGTGCGTGTCGTTAGTGGGTGTGGCATGACGCATCGGTCCTGGATGTCCGTAACAGCTCTTCACATGGCAGATAAAATCATAAGGGTAAAATGTAAGGTTCTACTAGTCTGGGTGAACGTCGTGGTCTTCGAACAGCGATCGGTAGGTCAGGTTCATCCGTTAGGGGTTTTCAGTCGTCTCAGTGAGTTCTGTATCAGCGGTTTCATCCTCGGCGCCTGATACCGCGGATACACGGAGCCGAACAAAGTTATTGTGCCGGCGGACGGATTCTCCAGTTTCCAACAGTTCTGTTCATGAGCTGGCCAGTAGGGTTCAGGGCTGCCATATCGGTTCATGTGGGAGTTTCGTATGCACATCTTGTTTCAATAACAGATTCTGGGTTTTATTGCCCACGTGTCCACTCTGGTGCCATCGCTAAAAACGCCTGGTTTGACTGGAGATCTGGAGGCCTTGTGCGGAGGCGATCTAAAACATTGCCACCCCAGAACTTTTGCAAACGGACTGCAAAAATGTGACACGATAAGCGAACAAGAGTCGATCTATTCCGGTGCACAAAACTCCTTGGCTTTGCTTCAGGAGACTGGCCTTCACGATTTGTACCGCTCTCTCTACCAAACTATTGGATGCTGGTTGATATGGTGTTGAAGTCATACGGCGGATGCCATTACACTGTAGATACTGTTCGAGAGCTGCATTCGTAAATTGAGGATCGTTATCTTTAACGAGTTTTTGGCAAACCATATGTGAATAGGATAGTGCAGACGTTATTAACTGTAGTCTCTGAAGTAGCGTTTGGGAGGATATGTACATCTATACATTTTGAGTACGCATCCACCATGAGTGGTTGCACTTTCCCTTCAACCTCACCGAAATGGTCAGCGTGAACATGCTTACACGGACCACCGGCTAGCTCCCAGGTGTGAGTCGGACCGTTTAGTTTGTCTTTCTGATATTGTTGGCATATAGCACTTGCCTACAACAGAGCTTCGGTATAACGATCAATTGCCGACCACCAACAGTAGCCTTTGGCACTAGCTTTTATATGAACGACTCCTGTATGAGCATCATGTAATTCTCTCAATGTGGCTGATCTGAGAGCAGAAAGAATAACGATACGAGATCTATGTAAAATACATCCTTCGTGCAAACTGAGCTCTTATCGGCAATTGAAGAACGGACGTAGAATCTCAGTAGATCGAGAATCCCAACCACCTAACACCAACCGTATCACAGTCGACAGGACCGGAACTCGGTCTGTAGCGCTCCTAACCATGTCGCTGGATAATGGACAAACTCGCAAGGCGCTGCACCTTGTTCATTACTTTGCATTTACTGTGGTAATCTACTGAGAGCATCGACTATATTATGGTGCAATCCACAGGGGTATCGAATTTAATAGCTGTAAGCAGAAAGGATGAATGCCAAGCTTATCATACGGGGTGCATTAATCTGTTCTATACCTCATTTCTCAACGAGCAATGAAATCAGTTCTTTATGATCTGTCTGTATGTCAAATCGATTGCCCCACAAGTATTGATGGAAGCACTTAACTCCAAATATCACGGCCAGTGCCTCTCTGTCAAGCTTTGCGTAATTCTTCTCAGTGGTCTGCAGTGTTTGGTATGCGAAAGCAATAGGATGGATGGTTCCATCCGGAATCTGATGTCCTAGGAATGCTCCCACTGCAAACGGTTGGACACCACGGTGAATTATAATGCACTAATACAGATTGAGAAATATATAGATTCTTCGCCTTCAAAAACGCGTATTCCTCTTTCCTTGTCCATGACTTCTTGGCATCTTTCTTAAACAAAGCATGAAGAGGTGCGATCACGGTGGTCAGGTTAAGTAAAAAAGGACGGTAGTATGAAAGCATACCAACGAACGAACGTAACTCTGCTTTGTTGGTAGGCTGTGTGCACTAATGATGGGCTCCAGCTTGTCCTTTAGTGCATGTAATTCAGTTTTATCTAGTCGATAGGCAAGAAAATCAAGGGAATCAACTAGGAAAGCACATTTGGAACGCTTCAAACGCAACCTATTTTCTGACATCCGGTGTAGGAACTTGATCAGATTACGCAAATGGTCTACTTCTGTCTTACCAGTGATTACTAAGTAGTCAAGGTATGCACAGGTATTCGGGTATATCACATACGAAGTTGTCAGTTATCCTTTGGAAAATCCCCAGGGCAGAGTTAATTCCAAATACGGGTCTAGTGTATTCAAATAAACCCACATTTGTGCTAATCGTAGTAAAGGGGTGAGAATCGTCGTCCAATTTCACCTGCGAATAAGCCTGATTTAAAACAAGTTTAGTGAACTTGACCCCACCAGATAAAGTGGCATATAAATCTTCAGATTTTGGTAAAGGGTAAAGGTCCATGATAATGCAGCGTTTCACTGTTAGTTTGTAATCACCGAAAATCCGCACACTGCCGTCTGACTTATGCACAGGGACTATCGGTGCTGTCCATTCGGATTGTTGAACTGGTACGATTGTACTTTTGTGCTGCAGCCGTTTCAATTCTTCCTCAACCTTTGGCCGTAGGGAATAAGGTAATGTTCTAGTCTTGAAGATTTTTGGCAAACTAGCTACTGCCATATAGATTTTGGCTTTGAAATTGTTGAGCTTCCCCAACTGGTGTTCGTTAAATACCTCTGGTATCCCTTTAGGACGGAGTCTACGGTTTCCACCCCAGTAGACTGTTCGATGTACGAAGAACAACATGAATGCATTAAATTGTGTGCTCTTCACTGATGTTGAACTAGCACCTGACATTTTCCATGTAGGTGTATGACCTCTCTCCTATAAGTTTTGAAAACTGTTTCACTCGGTTCCAAATTAGGTAATGGTGAAAGTGCATTCTGCTCTATTAATGTCCCTGCTGAGCCGGTGTCTAATTCAAATAAATCAAACTGACTATTAACAACAAGCGTGATCACATACGGATGTAGTTTGTTCATATTTTAACAGTTCGCAAATACATGGTTCATAAAGTTCAACTGTGAATCACATGACGCACCATCGTTTTTGTTCAGCGATTTACTGGGAATTTGTGATGGTGGGGAACGACACATACGAGCCAAATGACCAACTTTACCGCAATTCCTGCACTTCCTACGCAAGTGAGGGCACTGGTTGGGGGAAGTATGTTGATCACTGCATCGGTAGCACACGAACTTCCACGCAAAATTCTCAGAGGAAAAAACTCGACTTGGTTTGTTCACAGTTGCTGCAGGCTGGGCGGGGTTAAAAGTAGAATACTGATTTTGCAGATGTCCCACCTGCCAAACAAGGTTGCAATCTGTTTCCCAAGGAAGAGTTTCTTCTTCCTAGGATAATACTTTTCCCTTGATCAATCACCTATAATTCCAGCTATCAGGCATTGAATTTTCATGACTTCTTCAAAAAGCGTCGAAAGGACTGTGTTGTAATGACACTTCGCTGTGACGCGGCTCTCGTTCCTCCGCCTCGTGCGCTTTCCGCGCAGTGCTTGTTTTCACGTCCCCGTGTGATGGGCGAGACAGATCAAATGGGATCAGAAGAACAATCACATAAATCAGGTCCTCGGAAATTAGTGGAGGAACGTGTCAGGGGTGAAGTCAAGTGGTTCAATGTGAAATCCGGTTATGGATTCATTCACCGCCTTGACACCGGTACTGATATCTTCGTTCATCAGTCAGCTATTTCTCGCAATAATCCTGACAAGCTACAACGGTCATTGAAGGAGGGAGAAGAAGTGGAATTTTACGTTGTTGAAGGCGAGAAAGGAGATGAGGCTTATGAAGTTACCGGGCCTGATGGCGCTCCTGTTCAGGGGAGCATATATGCCGCTCCACGTGGAGACCGACCGTTTTTCCGTGGTCGAGGAATGGGACGCGGGCGTGGAATGGGGCCTGGAGCATTCACGAATAACAGTGATGCATACTTCGGTCGCGGTCGTGGTCGCTTTGGCGATGATTATGGCTCCAGTGAATACGATCGTGGTGGACGCGGTAGACCGTTCATGGGGCGCAGCAGATCCCCGCGTGCTCGTGGTTTTCGTGGCAGCAGTTTTGGATACGAAGGACGTGGTGGCCTTCGCAATTCTTACAGTGGAAGACGCGATGAGATGGACGATGACAGAAGGAATGGTCATGAAACGCACGCGGAATGAATGCTGCACTCAGCTACTCAACGGTCGCGCGCACTTGAATGATGGTGAACTTTCGTTATACTCAATTTTCATGTGTGTGGAATTTCCGTCTCACCTACTTTAACCAGCTGATGTGCAACTTTGCTAGATCCCATTTGTTACCTACCGAACCATCGGTGTTGTTATCAGCAATGTTTTCGATGAACCAAACTTGGGTTTCTACTCGGTTTACTTGCCACTTTACTTTATGGCCTTCTTGTGTCTGTCAAACTTGCATTTGTGAGGCTTTTTGTGCTCCATTTTGAATATTTTTCTATTACTTGCCTTGATACCCTCCTTCTCTGCCCGACTGTTTTCCGATTTGGATTCCTTTCCCGAACGCTATCTACTGACACCGAAGGCACAGTCCTATGTGGATGTTTTGTATACCGATGGATTACGCTCTATTCAGTGCACTTGTTTTGCTGCTTACCAACAAACTTTGTATAGTGCAATTAACTATTCACTGCACTCAATGTGAGGACTAACTAATCGCACTTCGCACAAAATATTGTCCAGTTTGTCTACCGATTCCCATCAATAAAGATGCCTTGAATCTGCCGTTTTCCCCATTAAAAAAATGATCGCTCCCACTTATGGGGCCGTGTACCGTCCGTCGGTAAATGTACAAATTTATTTATTTATTTATTTACTTTGGTGTAGCTTGGTGAATGCATGCGATAAAATCGTGTGCGATTTCTCCGCGCAGCTGCTGTAACTTCAAAACTCTAGCGAGCGGAAAACATGCTCTGCTGAATTTCCCATAGTTCCTCAAATAACTGAATCACTTGTGAGATCCCAGATTTAACCATTAGGTTCATTGCATCGAAATGTTTTTGTGCGTCTGAACCAACTGCCAGGCAGAACAAGATAATCCAGTGGGTATCTGACAGTATTCTGGAAGGATTCAACACAGGAAAAACAGTCATCTGATGTTGGAATGAAGTTTTCCATTGAATCCATGTTTGTAAGGAAGGTTTTTCTGACGCTTTCGGCCAGAGAAATGAGAGACCCGCAAGTGCGTTCGTATTGCTTGTCAAGATTTTGTTACGTATCGATGGTATATTCCTAATCCGTGTATGGATCCGTAGTCCGTTTAGACGTAGGAAAAACACCAACGCCGGATAGTAGGTGTGAAGCTACTCTGCTCCTAACCGGAGCCAAGTGAAAACATATAGGATCAAAACGAACCAATAAGAAACAAAGACTAATCAGCGAATGCACTATGGTCATTTGATTTGGCGCGTGAAGTTAGTGGCTGTGGATGTCCGTAAAGTACGGCCCTGCTACCGTCTTGTGTTTGTCTGGTACACATGATTCCCTACACAGGTAGACAGGAATGCTGCTTCTGTGCATGTTCGGGAAGTTCAAGTCGACTCCGTTAGTGGAACGTGGCTCCCAACCACAGCCTTCCGTCTTATTCCTTTGGCCTTACACTGGATATGTTTTGCATGGATAGAGCTTAGATTGGTGAAGCGCAAATCACCCATGATTCCAGTGTATGCGAAGGCCTGTTTCGGCTGTCCTATGGAGATCACAATGACAAGAAAATCCGGAACCGAATGCTGTCAACCATGCTGGCGATGTATGCGAAGTAATCAGATGTCATTTGTTCCCCTAATAATTAAACTAGATAGCGCTATGTGGTCCATATGGAGAGTAAATATTCTTCGAACGAGAACAACTTCATTTCTCACACACCTAAACGAAAGCAAGGATTTGTTTTTTGCAGGCCGAGTTAGAATACTCTGCTGCTAGCAATTTTCTTGAAGCGTAGGCAGTAACACATTCATGCACATTCTGGATTTGGGATAGTATAGCACCTAACCCAATGTTTGATACATCAGTAGAGAGAATCGTTGGACATATTTCGCCGAAAATCGATATAACGTATGTGGAAGCTACGCGGCTTTTTATTTCGTCATGCGCCGTGTGTAGGGGATGATACAAACCAATAAACCTTTTGCTTTCATCGATTCATGCAGTGGTTCTGCAATGTTCCTAATATCCTACAGGTTACGTAGGCTGTAAAAACACGTCCATAAAATGCTTTAGTTCGGTGGATTTCTGTGTAGGAAAACCTCGGTGATGGCACGCGTGTTTTTAGCACTCGGCATCATATCGTCAGTAGTTACTATGTGGCCCAGGAACTCAATTCACAAGCCTTAAATTTATACTTCTCAAGATTTGCCCGGAGGATAAAATCGTGTAGCCGGCGTAACAGAGCGTGCATTAGTGAATCATCGTCTTATGGAGTAATACTGAATACACAGATGTCATCCATATACGCTATTTGACTAGGTGCATTAGAAGTAGGCAAATCATAGGCTTTTCCAAGCTGCTGGAGCCCAAGACAAGCCCAGTGGCAAAATTTTGTCCTGAAATAGCCAGTCCATTGTCAGCGGTCCGGACTCCTGAATTAAAGACATGTAAAAGAAAGCCTTCCTCAGGTCCAATTTTGAAAAATATCGGACGCCGACTAATGCGACTAGTAGTTCATCGGCTGTTGGAAAAACAGACCTTTTGATCACGAGTTGACTATTTAGGGCCAGTAGGGCATTCCACATTCTTACTGTACCGTTCTTCTATAGGACTCTTGCCATAGGGTGGACCCATTTCGAACAGTTAGTTTCTTCAATGAGATCATCTCAGAGCATTGCTCGTACTCCTGAGGAAACCGCACCTTTAATGTCCAAAGAATTAGACTAGACTGAATGATACTTACCGAATTTGCATACTGCTTCAGACATAGGCGATGAACGTAGGAGGGAGCGCGCGCTATTATTTTTGCAAACAGTGTCAGATATTGTATCTGGAGGTTTGGTAGGTTAAGCACCATGATCCGCATAATGGATAGAGGCCGCCTGACTCGCAGTGGAACCATAGTGTTGCTACTGGGTAGGAGACTATTAATTCCGTGCATGGCGTACACAGCAACTGATGGTTTACCGGTCCCAATTTGCCAAACAGTCATCACAATCCTTCGTATTTCGATACAGCGCGATCTTTGTCTGGTTAGCTTCCACTAGCGTAGTTTCAGCGGGCGTCTTTGCACGGAAAGAAGTAGAACGCTTACCTTCGCACCGGTGCCAAGAAACGGATGTTTGGTCATGGAATGGAATACGTACAAGGGTAGACTGATAATGTGACCAGCAGCAGCCGCCGCCATTACTGACTGGGTTATCGTTCCTTTTGGGTGGCGTCTGGGATAATAGCCGGTAATCAATGAGATGTAAGAGACGTGTCAAATACGGGACAGTATAGAAACTGGAGGCGACTGAACCCAAAGTATATTGTGCAGGAAACAAAAATAGGAAGCGAATCAATCAGAGCGAGGAACGGTGCAGCGAGTTACTCACCAAAACGATTTGTGTCAATGGATGTGCCGTCAATAAAACAAGTAGACGTTTTGAAGGTTAAAACAACCGTAAAATCCAATGTTTTAAAATACTGAAAGAGGGTTTTTTCCGGTATACTCAATGGTCTCCCCTAGAAGGCTGAATGATGGAAGACTTCAATGGTGCTGTTAGTGGGGAAAAACGGAAGGTGAGGATGGGTGCGATTAGTTACATGAGCTTGAGCAAGGGCTTCCAAGATGGGGTGTGTAGCAGAGTTCATTGGGTCCAGGCTTTTGTTATTAATTAGTTATGCTGATCGTCTGGACCAGAGTGCATCATCAGTGGGTCGTCAGGGCGGGCTGGTCGGACTGCAAATAAACTGGCTAGTCCAGGAAAAGGGCCGACAGGACATTCCCTCTGTTGCAGACCCGACGGTGCGCTTGGGTGGTATCACCCCCCCCCCACAGCCCACCAGTCCATGGTCCTCGTCCAACGAAGGAATCCAGGCGTCCTCGTTCAAAGAAGAAATCCGGGCGTCTTCGTTCCATGAAGAAATCCGGCGTTCTCGTCGGCAACGCATAGCCAGACGTTTGGGGACCAACCCGTTCGTAGCTGTCTGCGGCCGAGGACGACTCACTGATGCTTGGTCAGGAAGGGGGCCTTGCGTCGGCTGACAAGTTACTCGGGGGTTCGGTTGAGCCAGTTGGCGCCAATTGTCTACTCCATCAACGTCGAGCACATGGTGCTGAAGCACTTGCGGTCGCGATTGTCTGAGTCAGGCAGGCCTAGTGAGTCACGAGCCAGGCCACTCAGGACCAGCATCGCAACGACGACAGGTCCCGCTGAGAACGTAGTCAGAACCGGTGCAGCGTTTTTAGTTACCCTGCATTCGATTTACTAACCGCGTGCTTTCGTTCTGAGTTTATTTCAGGTAGTTGGTTTGCTACCTTGTTTTAGTGTTATTTGATTACCACATTTTAATGTGTACTTGAGTAGCCTATTAAATTGCACATTTCGCTTAAACTAAAGGTGGTTATCTTTGTCTTTTTCTCCCTCTTACACAGGTATCTTGATCCCTTTTTATGCCATCCAAAACCTAAAACGGCCATCTGTTGGATATGGAGTGTGTGGTTGGAGCTGTGGGTGGTCCAGCGCAAGCCACCCATGATTCCTCTGTAGGCGCAGGCAACCTGTGGCTGTCCCCGTGGGGGCCACAGTGACAGGCAAATCCGGAACCGGATGCCGCCAACCACATTTACAGACCTGGTTGGACTGGTAATCCACTGTGTTCAGCCCCCTGCCCTGATGGAAGAAAGAAAACGAGCATTCAAGTTGGACCTTGAGTGGGATGACCAGCGTATTTTCAGTAGGTTGAAATCGCCGGCAATAATCTTCTGGCTGTGTGGCAACCTTGATGCTAAGTCAAATGCAGAAGTGATGTTGATGATACTCAGATTAGACGCATTCGGTGGGTTGTAGATACACGCGAGCAGTATGTAAGATGAAGCGCTTGCAACTGACAGCCAAAAAGATGAACGGATATTTTCCAGTTGTAAGTGGTCTACATTATATGTCCATTGAGCATCTCCCTAACAAAATCATATATATATATATATATATATATATATATATATATATATGTTTGGCGGCATCCGGTTTCGGATTTGCCTGTCACTGTGGCCAGCCACAGGACGCCTGCGCCTACAGAGGGACAATGGGTGGCTTGTGCTGCACCATCCACAGCTCCATCCACACATCCGTATCCAGTGTAAACCCGAAGGAATAAGACCGGGAGGCATGTGGATGGGAGCGACGTCTCATCAACGGATCCGGCCCACACTCCTTCACAGGCAAACACAAGCACGCTGTATTTGGGAATCAAGCGCACACAAGGCGGTGGCTGGACCGTAGTCCGCTCCACGCTGGGTGCATGGAACCACTCTTCGAGCCTAGCACGGCCACAAGGACCGTGCACCCCGTCCCCTCCAGCAACGACCAAGTGTCTCCTGGAGCCAGTATGAACGAGGTAGTGGGTAATAGACAGGTAGGCACCTTGTCAACATGCACATCAAGAGCAGTCACACTGGGGATATAAAAAAACCAACATATACTTTGAAGGAAAGAAAACACGCCAAATCGACAGAGAAGGTGCATCAAAAGAACAGTATTGAATAGGTCAACTAAATTGGAATAACTTATCCAGGTTATACAGATCTGGTTTAAGTATAAGTAGGTTTAGTCCA